TGTGTGTGTGTGTGTGTGTGTGTGTGTGTGTGTGTGTGTGTGTGTGTTTGCGCGCATGCGCATCAGTTTTATGTGTGTAGCTGTCCTGGAACTCAGAGATCTGCCTACCACTGCCTGTCAAGTGCTAGGATTAAAGGTGTGTGCCACTGCCCTCAGTCATTCCTTGAATCTTAAGCTGGCTAAAGAAATTTGTGAGAAGATCTTAGCCCTTGAGCTCCTTTCATCTTCCATTAGCAAAAGCATCTAGTCTTTTTTTCTACTAGTTAAAACTCTATAGAGCTAGGTGCGACCACAAAAAGAAATGTGATATTCAATTAAAAGAGATTGTGTATATTAAACAAAAAGTTGCTATAAAATTATACATAAAGTTAAGGTATTTTTATTGTAACAAAGTGAGTGGTTTAGATCTCATGATTTCTAAAATTAAAAGTGCTAAAACTCTTAAACAAAACAAAGGTCACAAATCAATATTTACATTTAAAATTCTCAGTTTCGGGCGAGAAGTCTTTTCATGCCGAGAGCGACTTCTCACAGATTTTCGACAATGACGTTTTGTTGTCCTCCCTTCATGCCTCCCACTGGATGACGGAGCATTCTCATTGCCATCACTCATACCAGAAGCAACGTCTGAATGTGCACTTTGAGAGGGGAAAAATCATGTATAATAAGATTTAAAGGCCTAGTATTCTGAAGTTTCATATCATCCTATCTACTACTCAAAGGACTGTTTTAGTTTACTTACCTGTCTACAGAGGAAACCAATGGAACAGGCTGAGTAGGTTGTGACTGTGTTATTGGAGTTTGTTCTGGAGGAGCAGCCTGAGAGACTCCCTGAGTACTCTGTAGATTGAAAGGATAATTCAAATCTTGGCATTTATACATACATATGTATACATATATTTATACATATATATATACATACATATATATATTTAAATATGAAATTATCATCCAACAATCCTAAGACATTCCCTTTTCTTTTTCTTGTTACCCCCACTATAATTCCTAGAAGCAATGAATCTACTAGTAATTCTTAATATTCAAAATCTAAAAACAGTGTGCTTACATTTTGAAAGTTACTAGTTTCTAGTACAGACTGTTGGTGTGAAGTCAGCCAACCTATTTGCTAGGCATTGTGAAACTACAACTTGCCATGCAGCCAGCATCTTAAACCAGAGTGTGCAATAGGGCAGGCAGAGCAAAGTGCAGAGATGAATTCAGAACTGTATCCTAGTAGGACAAAAATGACTGCTGGGAGCACAGCAAGATAAGATACTCTTATGAATTGCTAATGGCAAAAGTTTGTGGAAGAACAATGGCTAATGCACTAGCTAGAGAAGTGAAGTGCTAATAGTGTTAATCTTCTCTAAGGCAAACTCACTTCCCAACAGAACAGCCAGTGGCAACAAGGCCCCCACATTGGCATTTCATTCTGCTGTAAGACAAAGTCATTTAGAAGTTAGTTTAACAGTCTCCAAATGCACTTTAAATAAGGGGAGCCTGTTTTTCCTTTGCTATTTTAACCCCATGTTCATAGATGTTTTCTATATAATCATGCAGTAATTCCATTTACCTCCAGAACTGCTTGCTGGGAGGATGTAGTAGGGGGTTGTTGCGTTAAACTCACTGCTGGTTGGGACACTTGAACCTGGCCTCCTACACTGCCCATAGGAACCAAAGGAGTTGATTCCACATAAGGCTGCACTACTGTAGGAAAGTAACCTTGGGTGGCCAATGCTTCTGTCGGCATAGGAGGGGCTAGGACTGTAGAATGGATGCAAACAGAAGCCACGTTGGAAGAGGGAGTAATATTTGAATCTCCTGGGTATTGTGGTGGCAGTCGAGATGGAAAGCCCTGTGACAGAAATGAGGAAGGTGAGTTAGTGCAGGTTGGGACATCAAATTAGCAAATCAGTAGACAAGGAGGTGGAGGGGGAAAAAAAGCACAAAGCAAAGGAGAGTGTCCCACTTTCTAATAGTTTAAAGATCATTTTCAAAATGAACTGGCAGTTAACATAGAGGGTGGCACTCTTTCAATCATACTTTAAACTGCTTAATTTCCCCTTGTAGAGACAAATGATGTAGAACTTAGGGACTTAATTCCTCACAGAAAGGATCTATAGCAATATTACATGGAAAAATGCAAAAATATTTCCCAGCTATCAGTCATATTATCAAATGGAAACCCTCTAAATCTAAACCCTGAATTTTCTGTTAGTACCAGGCTGCCTGCTCTCTTCACTCATCTACCTATAAAGGAGCAGCCTGGTAGATTTCACTAACCACATATCCAGGGTTATCTAGCTTACCGTGAAACTGAGTTAACTTTTCTTCTAAGCTGTGTCTTTAAAAACATGTAAGGAATCTTTGGATAATATTATCCCATTAGGTTTTTTGAGACAGGGACTTACTATATTAGCCCTGGCTGGCCTAGAACGAGCTAGCCTTGAACTTATAGAGATCTGCTACTAGCCTCTACCCAACAAGCATTGGGATCAAAGGCACACACTACTACGCCCTGTCTTCCATTCTTCTTCTTCTTCCTTTTTTTTTTTTTTAAAGAATTTTGCTATTTTTATTTTTTCTAGTTTAGAGTTTTAACTTTTGTTATTGTTACTGACACTCAACTAGTACAATTCTCAAGTTCTTAATGATCTTTTATTAAAAGTCAAACACTCTAATACCCTCTGATTTGCTGGCTAACACAATACCTGGTACAGAACATCTCCAGAGGGCAGTGGACCCTCAGCAGCTTGTCCAAGGTTAGCTGGTATTCCCATGGACTGAACTGTTGTTGGCTGTAGGAGCTGTGGGTGAACCTGACTCTGCAGCTGATTCACAGGCTGCAGAAGGGTTGGAAGCTGATTAGGAACTACAGTTGATCCCCCTGGGATTGAAGATGCTGTAGCAGATGAAGCCAAGGTGAGCAGAGGCTGATTAATGCCAGCAGCCATTGTTATAGGAACGGATGAGAAACCTGTCTGCGCCGTGGACACATGAGGAGTTGATATGGGAATTTGAGAGACAGGATACTGTGGGAGTAAAGAAGTAGGGATTGGCTGTCCCATAGGAAGGAAATGAGCACCAGAGTGGACTGGAACAACTGAGGGTTGTGTTGAAACTGGGATGTGAGGTTCACCTTGGACAGTTGGTACTGTCTGGGAAACTGGAAGCTGGGAAGGTAAAGAAAAACAAAACAAGACTTTTTTTTTAAAAAGCAAAGCTGCCAAAAGCAAGATTTATATATTAGCCAAGAAGAAGAAAACCAAAACCCTGAATACATTAGTATAAATTAACATGCCACATAAGAATTAAAAAGAATAGAAAAGACAAATACGCTAATAAAGTGTCTAACATCTCCAAACATTTTGTTGTAGAAAAATATGGTAGTGTTTCATTGTTGGCAATAAGAAGAGGGCATTTTCACAAGCATGGATTTCTCCCTCTCTCCTTTCCCATTTATTACTTTGATTTTGAGTATCACTACATAGCTGAGGCTTTCCTGAAGCTTTCTTTGATGGTCTAGATTAGACTTAAAATTCTAGATCCTCCTGCCCCCACCTCCCAAGTGCTAAGATTCCAGATATGTACTACAACACCCAGTTTTCTGTTTGTTTTTTAGCAGCATTACTGCATATGTTTCACACACCATAATCCACTTGCATGTCTGCTATAACCTAATCTTTGACAGCTATTATAGTAATTGAATATAAATTTCTTTCCCATGGAATTGGATTTCACCAGTATTACATCTCAGCTTTTAAAATATGAAACAGCTCTATAAAAGTGGGTATAATTAACACAATTCACTGATTCTAGGGTGTTATCACTCATTATTCTACTATTTAACATCTGAGAAATTGGAATAGATGTAGAAATTAGAAGGATGTGTTAGTATTTACTTTGGGGTAAATAAAACAATAGTGTATTCACAGTTGATACTATTTTAGTTCTAAGATATGATAACAATATTCTATGCATATATGATGCATAAATGAAGTTGATAAAGGTTATTCATAAGAACGTAACCTTCTACAGGGTACATTCCAAGTGACTGAAAAAAACCAACAACAACCGAAGAACAACCAAAATAATCCTCCAAACAAACAAAACAAAAATCCACAAAGGGTTTTTTTTTTTTGGTGGGAGGTTTTGGGGGGGCTTGTGGGGTTGTGTGAGAGTGGGTGGGTAGGTATAGCTTGAAATTTTGAACCACCAGCCTGAGGCATCGCAGATGTGTCAACATTACCATCTTGTGATGGGTGATCCTGTCAACTTTAATTGGACTTAGGAATAAAGTAGGAGGGCTGGAGAGATGGCTCTGTAACGGCCCGAGCTGCCTCACATTCGGGGGTCACCCTGTATCTGCCCGAGCTGCTGCTTCAATCTGTGGGTCAGGGTCTAGCAAGAGAGAGAGTGGGGACAGAGAGACGCGAAGAATGGAGACGAGACAGAGTCTGCTCTGTTCTCTCCTCAAATCTCTCCTTTTATATCTCTCCTCAAGTCTCTTCTTGAGTCTCGCCTCGAGTCTCGCCTTGAGTCTCGAAAGTGCTGGGATTAAAGGCGTGTGTCACCACTGCCTGGCCTTGATTGAAAGGAAATCATGGGTATATCAAGATAATAGCAGAGTGTGCTCTGCTGTTGTAGGCTGTTGAAAACGACTCTTGTCAGGGTATATGGCTCAAAATGGCTGCAAAGATGATAGCCGCTTTCTGCTCAGAGTCAGCTCCCAACATGGCTCAGTGGTCAAGAGCACTGACTGCCCTTCCAGAGGTTCTTTCAGTTCAATTCCCAGCAACCACATGGTGGCTCACAACCATCTGTAATGGGATCCAGTGTCCTCTTCTGGTGTGTCTAAAGAGAGCAACAGTGTACTCATACATAAATAAATAAATTTTTAAAAAAATAATAAAAGAATAAAGTAGGAGATTAGTAATATATGTCCCTTCAGTATGTCTCCAAGAGCATTTCCAGAGATAACTAGATCTTAAGGATTCTGACCTCTGATGAATTCATATCTTGAATGGACTAAAAAGTAGGACTTGAATGGACTAAAAACTATGGAGGGTGGGGTCTAGTTATAGGTAATGGGTAGGTGGGGCTTTGAAAGGTATATTTTGGCCTTAACCTTTTCTATGTTCCTTGGTGGCCATAAGGTAAATAGTTTCTTATAGCATAACCCTTATTCATCCCTTGCTACAGGCCTAAAAGCAATACAGCCTGCCAATACAGCCTGCCAATCACGGATGGACTGAAACCTCGGAAACCACACAAGAAGAAAAAAGATTCTTTCCTTACAATCATTTTCTACTTATTTGTTAATAATGAGAAGCTAGTTAATACAAGGAATTAGTATCTGTAGCCAGTGAGGGAGAAAATACTGAAGTTTACATCGAAATAAAACATAGTGGTAAGTCTGGAATATCAGATATAGCTGACACATTTCTAGAGAATGCCACAGGTTAAGTTATCAAAACATCACTCCATCTAACCCATTAATTTCAATACCTGTAACTACTTTATACCTATAAACCTATTATTTCATATTTCACATTGTCATTGCCACCAGCATATACTCATTTACAATAAATAGAGGTGTATTGTAACAGATCTTTCACTTTTGAAGAGAAGGTAAAACCTGTAGGAAGGGACAAAGTACTTCTCTTCAGAAATTTGAGTTTACCTGTGCTCCAGCTGACACTTGAGGCTGACTAACTGGCTGGGCAGTAATGCCTTCACTGGAAGATGCTGCTTGTGGAAGTGAATACTGTACTGCCTGTTGAGGAGGAGCAGTTGGCTGTACTCCCTGCTGTTAAGAATAAAATACAATGTTTCAAATTTTTAAAAAAAGATTTATGTATTCACCATTGTTATCTTCAGACATACCAGAAGAGGGCTTCAGATCTCATTACAGATGGATTACAGATGGCTGTGAGCCACCATGTGGTTGCTGGGAACTGAACTCAGGACCTCTGGAAGAGCAGTCAGTGCTCTTAACCACTGAACCATCTCTCCAGCCCGTATTTCAGATTTTTTCAGAGATTTTGCTATGTTGCTTAAGCTAAGCTGGTCCCATCTCCCCACCTCCATAAGGACAAGGCATTATTAGCTCTGGAACTCACAGAGTCTGCCTGCTCCGACACCATAGGGATTGAAGGCAAGCTCTACCACCCTCAGCTCCTGTTGGCTTTTAAACATAGGCTACGGGAATGACCTTAAGACTATAAAACAACTAATCCAATGCCCTCTTCTGGCCTCCATGGGCACTGCATGCAAGTGAGAGACATACAATCTTCCAGTTTTTAAACACTAACACAAATAAAAGTACAATCTCAAAAAAATACATATTTTAAAAGTTAAATGTAAATGCTACTATTTCTATCTATTCTCAAGAGGCAGCCACTATGGGTTTTCTCAGTTTTTCCATTTTTATTTTCGGTTGAAACAAAGCAAAACAAACCTATAACCAGTGGTGTTACTAATTAACATTTTGGTAGGGTTTTTTGGGGTGGGGTGGGGAAGTACTTAAATATATTTCAACTGATAACCCTGTCTTATTTAAGGTCAACTACTGTTGTGATCAAATACTATGATCAAAAGCAATTTGGAGGAAAGGGTTTAGTTTACACCTCCACATCATTGTCTACATTTGAAGGAAGTCAGGACAGGGAACTCAAACAGGGCAGGAATCTGAGTCAGGAGCTAATGCAGAGGCCATGAAAGCGCTCTCTATTTACTGGCTTGTCCAGCCTGCTTTCTTACAGAACCCAGCACTACCAGCCCAGGGATGACACCAGCCACCACAGGCTGTGCCCTACTATATCAATTACTAACTAAGAAAATGCTCTACAGGCTTGCCTACAGCCCGATTTTATAGGAGCAATTTCTCAATTGAAACTCCCTCCTATTTGATGACTCTAGCTTGTGTTAAGTTGAAGTAAAAGTAGCCAGCACAAAACCTTTGTCTTGATATATCCAGTACAATTATTTGGCTGCTACCTGTATAAAGGTATGCTATTTATTTAGTTATGTATATAATCACCTTGGATTTTTATATAAGATACCTGGAAATATCTTTGTTCTTACAGAATGATTTTGTATCATCAAATTAAAACTACCAAATTTTAAAAGCACCAAAATACACTTGTCTTATTCAACCATTCCTGATAAGTTTATTTTTGTTTGATGATGCTAAGGATTGAACTAAGGACCTTTCTTGTGCATGTTATCTCTGAACATAAGAAACACCCAAACTTTCCTTTACCATTTATTTTTTTTTGTATGTGTGCCTGCCACAGAACCATGTGGCAATCATAAGGCAGCTTTTTCTACAATGAGGATTCCAGAGATTGAACTCAAGTGTTCACAAGTAGCAGCAATTGCCTTTACCTATTTTAGATCATCTTAGCAGCCCTTTACGAATGTTTAATGAAATGAAAATTCTCTTTACATAAAAGGTATTTGAGCATGTTCGTGTATGCAGATGTAAATACATGCATGTAAGAACATGTACGGAAACCTAAGGTATTGTTTCTTAGAAGATGTCTTGTTTTCTGGAAACAGGCTTGCCAATTAGGCTAGGCTGGTTGACCCAAAAGCCCCAAGAACTTCATTGTCTTCGTTTCCTCAATGCTGCTACTCTATGTATCCCTATCAGGACTGTACTTTAGGCATGTGTCTTGATGTACACAGCTCATTCCAACTTTCAAAACAAGCATCGACTAATGAATGGCAATTCAATTAAAAACTTCCCTTAGAAAATAGTGTAGGTGAGCATGGGGGCATGTATCTCCAATTCTGTGGCAGATCTAGAACATTATAGACAATTTCCTTACTTCTTTTACTAAAAGAAACCCCCAAACCAGGAGACCATTCTGGCCAATTTACACCTATTTATACTTTAAGGAATATGAAAAATTCTCTATAATTACCTAACTCATTGAATTACAGCAGCTTAAATATAGTTAAGTAAGATGGCGGGCATATAAAAATACTAATTTGAAAACTAAACCAAAGCCTCATATTTTTAAAATGTAAGACACATAAGCATCTTTATTTTTACCAGAGTTGTATTACAGGTGCTTTTGGTAGTTTTCTGGTATGACACAGTAAATCCCCTTACCTAAACAATTTAAAAGAATGTGTCTACCTCTGTGTGTATGTGTGAGCACACATGTTCATTGAGTATATTCATGCCGTGGTATACTTGTAGTGGTCAGTAAATAACCTATGGGTGGCTGTCCTTGACATTTCCCTTAATGTGAGCCAGATTATCTTTTCCTATTTAAGCTAGGCTAGCTCTCTTGTCTCTAATTCTCATTTTCTGATAGGTACACTGAGATTACTTGTGTTACTGTGTTCAACTTTTATGTGCGTTCCTGTACTATAGATATGAACACAGGCAGTAAAGTTTGTTTAGCAAGCACTTTTACCCAATGAGTCACCTGTAGTCTGCACTTAAAATGTCACAGTATTAGTTCTGTACATTTTTATTTTGTGACATTTTAAAATATAAATTTACACTCCTGTAACCTTGGAATCAGCTCCTAAAGTAATCTTTAAACAAATAATACAGTACTTGAGAAAATATCAATATAGGATCAAAATCAGGACATCATGCTTGGTGGCATGGGCCTTTTGTCCACTGCGCCATCTAGCTGGCTCAGCACATTTTTTTTTCACTTGTTTTATTCTATTTTATAAGTTGTTTTCTGGTTATTCAAAATAAAGGAGAACTTGGTAACTGAGAAAGGTTTCCATAATGTAGTTTTGTTTATTTTTTTCTGAGATAGGGTTATCACCAGATAAAAGTCTAGGCTGGTCTTCAACTTTCTTTATACCTCTGGCTGGACAAATCCATAATCTTCCTGCCACAGCATCTGGAATGCTCAGATTACATGTGTGTACTATCATACCTAGCAATTCACCACCAACAAATTTGAGAAATTTGAGGAAAAACCTTTGGGTATATGGTATTTCCTGTCCCTCTCCCATTCCCATTAAGAGGCTCACATAAAAATTTTGACTGTCAACTCTTTCCTGAAGGTACTCCTTAACAAATCTATCTTCTAGTTAACTAAAATAGGATTAAGCTAACTCAAAGACCTGTGTGAAACATGTAAACACACACACACACACACACGAATGGAAGAAAATGTTAAAATAGGAAAGATTACCTTAAACTAAACTGAAGGTTTCTTTTATCTGTCCTCTGCTTTTCTAATGTTGTTCCTTTTACATGATCTAAATTGCAATCCTTCCACCCTTGGCCTGGAATATGCTTTATTCTTATATAAAAGTCTTATAAATAACTGGGGCCCAACATATCTCTTCCAAAAACCTTCTTGATATACCCCTATACTATTTTTCTGCCTCTTAGAAACACAACAGGGGAGCAGTGAAATGGTGAGCTGTGGAGTAAGATTATTTGAAGTGTTCTTACCTCTTAGAAGCTGTATGTTTGAGAAAATTTTCAAAACTTCTCCAGATTTTAGCTTTCCCACCAGTAAAATGGAAATAATGATGTCTACCTTTACATAAAGTGTTTATCATATGATTACATTATTTAGGTTCCCTCAGAGCCAGTCATGGCTAGTCCATCCTAGCTCATTGTCAGAAAACAGACAAAACTGTTTAGTTGGAAATGCTGAGGAGTAAAGGAATATTAAAAAACGACTTTTGTTTTGTTTTTTAAATGTACTTATTATTCTCTGTTTTGTTTTTTTTTTTTTGGTTTTGGTTTTGGTTTTTTGAGACAGGGTTTCTCTGTGTAGCCCTGGCAGTCCTGGACTCACTCTGTAGACCAGGCTGGCCTCGAACTTTCGAACACAGAAATCCGCCTGCCTCTGCCTCCCAAGTGCTGGGATTAAAGGCGTGTGGCACCACCGCCCGGCCTGTACTTATTATTCTCATTGAAGACAACTGACAGGTATGTCAATAATACTCTTAAGAGTACTGTTTTTGAGAACTGGTTCATTTGGCAAGCCAAAATGATATCTCATCTGCTTCTGCATAATCACATTGGCTAATGACCAATATATCAGCCAAATAGTGATTACTAGAATTATGCTTTGTTTAGACTTGCCTCGTGAAAACCAGTTCATATGGCTTTTACTGACTGGTAGAGCATAGTTGCATGAAACTGTAAATGAACACAACCCTCAGGTTGAACAGAAGAGTATGAATATCTGAAGGCTTTGTACATGCTTTTATGGAAGACATGTTTATCTTTTTCACAACTGTCTTTATAGATATAAAGATTGGGAGGCACCACATTAATATAAAGCACACCATTTTAAAGCTTTATTTTTATTTCTGTATATGTCCGTACACGTGTATACATGTGTAGACAGGTGACTAAAATGGCCAGAAGAAGTTGGTAGGTGCCCTAGAGCTGGAGTTACAGGTAGTTGTAAGCCATCTGGTATGGGAACTGAACTGAGATCTTCAGAAAACCATTAAGCTCTTTCAACTGCTGAGTCGTATCTATATCTAGCCTCTCCATTATAACTCTTGATGAAAACAAAGGAAAACAACAACAAAGACTATAGGAAAACATTTATAATTTACTACGTTCCAAAAAGCCACAGATAAACTAAAATTAAATTCAGACAAGGTGTGCCTCTTTCCTTATTGTAAGGAAACTGTTACCAACAAGATAAAGGTCTTTTTCTTCTTTGCATAAAACCCAGTAACAGACAACAGTTTCTTTTTTTTCTTTCTTTTTTTTTTGAGACAGGGTTTCTCTGTGTCAACAACACTAGCTGTCCTAGAACTTGGTCTGTAGACCAGACTGCCTTGAACTTTCAGATATCCACCAGCCTCTTCCTCCTGAATGTTGAGATTAAAGACTTCACATCCACTGTATTAACTCATTAAAAAAAAACAAGACAACATCAAAAAAACTGATAAAGCTTGAATTTTAATTATTTTTCACTTCCTTAATATCTGAGATTCTAGAAAAGTAAAATATACTAGACTACATACACCTCTTATATAAACTGTCTTCATAATTTTGATTCTAGTCAACTTAAAATGTGCTGAAGTATCTAAAATAAAGACAAAAGAAAAATTAATTTTAATGGTAATATCACTGCATTTTCTTCATTACTGGAATTATTTAGCACTTTCTCATTTTTTTAAGATTGTTCAAATTTATTTCTATTTATTCTGACAGTTTCATACTCATATATAATGATTTTCAGCCATTTTCACTATTAACCTTTCTTTTCCTCCCTCCTTCTGTAGAAATCTTTCTTTTTCCCAAGAAATCTCCCTTCTATTTTCAGGTAGGGGTGTGTGTGTGTGTGTGTGTGTGTGTGTGTGACAGAGAGATAGAGGCAGACAGATTCACTTAGTTTAAATAACACTGCTTGTATTAGCATAGGAGATTATTTACTAGAACATGGAACAGTTTTTGAAGAAAAATGATAAGCCTCCCCACCCCCACAGCAACCCTTAGCTACTAGAAGCCAAGATTTCTATAATAGTGAGCTTTTCCCTAAATAGTTACAGTTTTGTTATCCAACAAATTGCATCATCGGCTACCAGATTCCACTTAAATGGATGAATTCAAGGAAGCAGAAGAGCTTTGTCTTCTACATTGGTGGTTTGTTTTTACAGGTAATATTTATTTTATAGTCTAAAGGAAAGGTGGGCCTCATCAGCTATTTTTCCCTTTTCTAAGACTGCAACTGACTATGTAGTCTGGAACTCAGAATTCTGCTTTAAGCTTCCTAAATGCTGGCAGAAGTATACAACATCACATTCAAACATATTATTTTAACCTAACATTTATAGTATTATGCTCGTGAATCCCTAAACATTTTTTGAGGTTGACTTTTTCCTTCATTTGGTAGTATTTATATGTATGTACAAATGTAAATATATATGTATATTTAAGACAACTGACATATTTCTTTACAGAAGAAAAAACAGCACAGATACTTCAATGTTTTTCTTTTACTGGTGTTGGCCTATGTGAAAGGTAAGCCAGGTTGGCTCATGCTTGTAATTCTTGCACTTGGGAGGCAGAGGCAAGAAGACTGAGAATTCAACACCAGTTTGGGATATATCATAAAAGGTGACTCCGAAAGCCTGAAAGTGATTAGAACTCATTACAGTGCTTCTAATTATTAACCAGATTTATATAACTTGTAATTTCATTCTAACTAGGGATTATAGAACAGAATTTATTGATGTTGGTAAAAAAATTTTTTTTAAACTTCTCAAATTTAAACATAATTATAGACAAATTCAAGGATTTATTTGGAAGAAATACTAGGAGCAATATAAGGTCTACAATCCTTGGTCAAAACTTTTTTTTTAAAAGATGGGATTTGGTCACTGGGTAAATATGGATATGACAGAAATAATTAATTTCTTCTATATAAAGGACTTCAAAGTTATCTGTATAAATGTTGTTTGTCTGTGTACTACATACATGCCTGATGCCTAGAGGTCAAAAATAGGCATCTCATCCCTTGAAACACTACTTATGGATGGTTTAAAGTCACTCTGTGTGTGTGTGTGTGTGTGTGTGTGTATGTGTGTTTGTGTGGTAGGAACCAAACCAGGGTTGGCTACAAGAGCATCCAGGAATCTTAACCACTTCAGTCCCTAATTTTTATTTTGAACTAGGTGTGTTAAGGTATAATTGATGCGTGTGGAGAAAAGGAGGTGTATGTGGAGAAAAGGTGTTGGATCCCTTAGAGCTAGAATTTCAGACAGTCATCTATGGATGCCATCACATGAATGCTGGAAATCAAACTCCAGTCTTCTGTAAAATTATCAAGTTTTCCTAACAAGGCACCTCACAGCCTTATTAAATGTTATTCTATTACTGTGTATACAGTGTTTGTGTTTTGGGAGAGACTTAAGTACATGCCATAGTGTGTTCATAGAAGCTAGAGGACAACTCTGTGGTTATTAGTTCTCTCCTTCCACGTATATGTGGGTCCCAGGGATTGAACAAGTCTTCAGGGGTGCACAACAAGCACTTTACTTGCTGAACCATCTAACTTGTGACTTAATCTCCATTAAGATCAAGTAACCATATGTACACATATTGTATTAAAAGAGGCCATTTATAATAAGAATGAAAATATTTGTTTCAAAAATTAGAACCAGAAGTCACTTTACAATATAGTGGTTAAAAAGTATTTAGCCAAGGAACTATTATTAATGAATTAGCTTATCATATACACAGGTATAAATTTTGTTTGAAACAACTAATTAATAAATTAGTTGTTAAAAAATTAGTGCCAAAAAGAATGATTTTCTTCCAAACAAAAATATGTTAATAAAAGCACTGATGAATTATAGATATTTAAGATTAGCAGTTTTATTAACCTCTTTGTTTCTTTTTAAGCTCATGTTCGGAATTACTCAGATCTTTTGGGACATAAACTTCCCAGGTCAAAAGTAAAACTTCAAAAAAAAAACCCAAAACTTCCTATAGTAGTTGTTCTTTATGTTTTCTTAAAATGTTTTTTTGCCTGCATGTATATATGTGTTTAGCATGAATGCTTAATTCTTGAGGAGGCCATAAAAGAGCACTGGATTCCTTAGAATTAGTTACAGGTGTTTGTTAGCCACCATGTGGGTCCTGGGAACTGAACCTAGGTCTTTGGAAGAACAGTACATGCTCTTAACTAGGGAGCCATCTAAAAAAAAAAAAAAGAAAAGTTCTTTCATTCAAGTCCTCTTGTATAAAATCTGATACTCTATCCCACGTATTAATAAATAAAAACAAGTTCATGATCCAAGGCATGTACCATGAGAAGCTGAAGTGACAAAAAAGCTCTAAAAAAGAAAAACAAAAAACAAAAAACAAAAAAAACAAAAGATAAGGATTCTTTCAATAGGCATGGCTGTGCTGGAATATGCTCTGTAGACCATGTATAATATAAACCTTCAACTCAGATTCACCTGCCTCTGCTTCCTAGGTGATAAATGCTCTTACGTGGATAAGTCATAAACATAAATAGAAACAAAGATATTCTTTGTATGGCTTACCTTATGCATAAAATCATTTAGAAAGGAAGATAAACTATAAATAAATAACAATTCTTTTCTTTCTTTTTTTAAAAAAAGATTTATTATATATAGTGCTCTGCCTGCATGTATGCCTCCACACCAGACAAGGGTACCTGATTTCATTACAGATGGTTGTCAGCCACCATGTGGTTGTTGGGAAATGAATTCAGGACCTCTGGAAGAGCAGCCAGTGCTGTTAACCGCTGAGCCATCTCTCCAGCCCACAATTATTCTTTTCAACACATATCTCTTAAATTGCTCATAGGTACGTAAGATGTGTTCTGATACTTAATTACACTTTCAAAAACTTAGCAAGCCATTTATATCAGAAATCTAGGTCATAAAGATATAAAACAGTGCCTCTGGCTACTGTTAAAACATAATATAGCAATACAACATTTTTTACCTGCTGAGGATGTTGGATGGGTTGTGAAGATAGAACCCCTGATAAACTACTTGATGGCTGACCCTGACTCTGCACCTGTGCCTGAAGGAAAAAAAGCAAATACAAATTAGTGAAAGTTTATACACATACAGTTTAGATTTTTGTATAAATACTTCAGATCCTGAGAAGATTGCTTGATCAAAATGAACCATCAGCTTGATACTGTAGTACAAGACCGACCTCTGGAATTTTTTGGTAAGGTAAGTTCAGAAAAAAGATCATAGAACATTTCTGATCACATCTCAGGTAAACACAAACATAAAGACAAAAATACAAATACGCTGATAGTTCCATTGATGCTACCTACAGTTTTAGTTGACTTGAATAGTCAGATTCACAATAAAATTGTCACAGAAAAAAATGTGATAAGTTATCAATATGAAAAACTGATTCTTGACAATTAAAGAAAACCACATTCAAAGATGCTACTAATTTGGTTCTCTTTTGCTGTTTCTTGTAGTGTCATAGTAACTCTTATGAAAAATGTGAAAGGAAGGTCTGTTAAAAAACAACTCCTAAACAGGCATATAGTGGTTGTCCAGGTAACGTAGAAATATATGGGGTCACCCTGACTAATAACTAGAGGAAATAGCTGCTACTTCTAAAGATGCTACTAAAAAAATTTCTATAATGACCAGACAAGTCTCACTCAAAGGATTAACCAACCCAGAATGTCAACCGTGTTAGGTCTAAGAAACTGAACAGTGTATTCTAATTAACAAGAAGTCAAATTAACTAAGAATAGAGTGTAAGAATATATGTTAGGGAAATTAATTCATATGTATGTATATAAACATGTTAAGAAAATGAAAAGGCTACCACCTTTATTGTTTCATTCCAATGTAGCAGAGGTGCTTTGAAGTTTACATGGATGTATCACACTCCACTAAAACTTTAATTATCTATTTTCTTTAAAAATATTTTTCCTTTGCAAAGCTTAGAGGATAATGTAAGCATACAGCATGTCCACACTGTTTAAATTTCAGGGTCCTTTTACTTCTTACCACTACTCTAAATAACTGATATGAAACAGTCACTGCTGAGTTTTTTAATTCTGTATCTTTGTGTAAATGTCCATGAGTATATATGCTTACCTGTGTGATTAAAGTTTTAAATGTACTGAGAACAGGGCCTGAAAGATCTACTGTTCCTAACCTTGTAACATGTTACCATAAACTCATGAAAACCTAATAAAATCATTATATAATAGGTGCTAACAGTCATTAAAATTATACAGTCCTTAATTTTATGTTTTATTTGTATCTTTAATATAGTGATTTGACTGATACCATCCAAAAATGGCACCTTCATTTATTAAGCTGTACTCCTAAAATATGTTTTCTTAAGTTCTTCTTATAATAAAAAGCTCTGTGTTTCTTAATATGACAGCAAAAAACCTTTTCATTACTTCTCATTTTGCTTTATGGTTAGTTTTTTAACTTTTAAAAACTTATTTAGAAGAAGGAATTATACACTAAATCATTTTAATATAATAATCAAGACTGACAGACAATTGCATTTTCATTACTACCACAAAATTCCAAAGAGATTAGTCATTGATTCTGACAACTAAAATCACAGGCAAACCAGGTATTTTCCACTTTATAATTCATTCTTTAGTACAAGTATTTATAACCACAAAAGAAATCCTACTAAGAAAATAAACAACATTCCTTATAAATCCATGATTCAGGGAAATGAGATAGAAAATTTAAATGCACTGGTGTATAATAGGGTAGTTTAAAAGAATTGTGAAAGTTTTCCTATAACCTGTGGATGGAGTGCAGATCCTCCTGAAGAATATGAAGCAGATAAGACCTGCTGAGATGTGGTTCCTTGGGGAAAACAGAAGAATAGTGGGGATTCTTGTAACACTGTCTGAGGCAGGCGAATAAAGGGCAATGAGACGTCAGAGCCAAAAGGTGCAGCTGTTCCCCCTGTAGGGGGAGGTGATTGAAAATCACTGAGATCTGAAGAAGTAATTTGAGAGGAATCACTGGAATATTCTGGGCTTCCTATTGGCCAGTTTTGTCCCACAGGTTCTACCACAGAAATGGTCAATTCTGGGGCATGGTTATTACGCTGTTCTTCAGTAACAGGCTGCAGGTGGCAATGTAATCCAACTGACTGAGGAGACAGTTCTTCCTGACTTGTGTCCACTGCAACCTGTCGATTTCGGTAAACACGTTGAGATAAAATCCCACCTCCTTCTCCTGAAGAGGAACTTGGTGTTTGAGCGTGAAATTCAAATACACAGTTGCTTCTGTTCTCATTGCTATGAGTTAACACAGCTGGTGCAGAATGAGGTACAAAGACAGGGTGAAATTTCAAATGTGTAGCATCTGTACTGTTAGGTGCAGAAAGACTAGAAAGAGGTGATGCTGGACTTGGTCCAGAATCTAATCTTAAATTCTGAAGGTGTCCTACCAGGAAAGCCTGTCCAGAAGGAAATTCAAAGACAGAACTTGAGGCAGGGCACCCAGGCACTGGCTTCTGTTCAGTTATCTGTTTCATAGAACTTGACAGTACTGGTGAGTTGTATGAAATGCCCTCATACTGTCCTGCCACCTGGGCCTGGTAATGCACCCCAGCTAGATACACTGTTTCCTGTGGAATAAAATAGTGAGCTTCTTCTGCCAGTACTAGTCCAGGTCTATAGTCACTATAAATCTGGGTTGGCTCAAACACAGGTTGGACCTGCATCTCACATAGCTCTCTATTTACTCTATTGGCTGTAGTACCCAACATAACTATGGCCTCTGGTGTCCAGTTAGTTGGGCTGCCACCAGGTGGAAGATGATTTTGGCCAACAGTCCTCAGCAGGGGTTGGAAGTGGCGAGTTTGGGCTTCCAGGAAGGAGGTGCTCTTACGTCGTTGGGAAATGGCTACTTTCGGTGGACAGGTGGGAGGTGGTGAAAAAGAAACTGGACGTTCATGAATAGTTGGGAAAAATATCTGTGATTCTGGGTATGTTGGGGTCCCCCCACACGGATGCGCCATGGACTGAGGCTGTATCAACATGAATAAGACAAGTAATTCATACATTCAATATGTAAAATTATATCAGACATGCACAGCTGGATAGTTCTGTGTAACCCCATGAAGTGGCCACACCAAAATTTTAATAGCTAACAATACTTTTGGAATTTATAGCAAAAATCCATTAAATACATCCAGGGCCAATAAAATCAATCTGTGGCACTTTCTTGAATGAAAAAAAAAAAGCTGCTGTCCCATAAACTTGCTCTGTCAAAGCAAAGGCATAAATTAAAACTTCCCAAGTAATTATTCTATTTTGCCTATAATAAATGTGTTTATTCTTAAAATATTTTTCAACAGAAAGAGCTAAAGCTAGAATATTAAAGGTCAATAAATAACCTTATTATTTTTATAATTTAAAATATACTTCAATTTAAGCTACTGTTCCACAGTGCGACAACATCAGTCTATTAGAGGCTTCAGTTATTTTTTTATCAACTAACAGTAGATGATCAGAAGAAAGTTATAATAGTATAAATCAGAAGACTTTTTGGCATATGGTATAAAATAAATCAAGTACATAATTATAATGGTAGCACTCAAGAGGCTGAGGCAGGGGGATTTTAGAGTACAAAGCCTGAGCAATTATATAGTGAGGCACTATCTTAAAAAATAAATAAAAAGATAGATGACTTCTTGTTCCCTTCTGTGTTTGAAACTAATATAAATAAAACTATAAAACAAGTTACAGATGCTCAATCATTCTTCTGATCATTGCTAAAGGTTGAATACTGAGTTTTCTAATTGTGACAAACCAGGTGAAAAGGAGGTAAAAGCAAATCTGATTTAGTAGCATGTATTGTTTCCAGAATTTAAGACTGAGCTTAGAATTCTAGCTTGCCAAATGCAATGTACATTATTCTCTACCATGTACTGGTAGAATGTTTGGCGAACATATGTAAGGGTCCAGGTTCAATTCTTAATAATACAAAAACAGTTGTTGAAGTCAGAGGACAATCTCAAATGTTGGACATCACCATCTAACTTGTCAGAGACAGGTGTTTGTTGCTCATGTATACAACACACTGCAAGACACATGAGATTCTGGAGAGTCTACTACCATCTCCCATTTCGAAATAGAAACACTGGGATTATGGACAGTAACTACTGCATCAGGCTTTACATGGGTTGTGGGAATCTGCATTCAGGTCTCCATGCTTGTGCAGCAAGAGCTTTAGTTATGGAGACATTTCTTCAACTTGCTAAAGTATTTCTCCATTAAATCAGAATGCTCACATTTTATTGATTATTCAATTTGTGTCCTGAAGCCATGAAACAGTGTACAGTTAATCATTTTCCTAAGTAAAAATCTGGTGTCATTAGTTCAGAATATTCTCTGTTTGGAAAAGCAGCAAACAAGGTCTCATAGCAATTAATGTAATTTGAGAGGTTGTACCTTTCATAGACATTAATGGACACAAGGAAAATTACATGTTATATATGTATCTAATATATTGTTATGCCCCATTTTATGTAATCTAATAGGTGGGGAAAAAAGTGCTTCCCAGAGAGGAAATAGCCTTTTGGTTTCCTGTCATTTCATTTTACACAAATGACTGAATTAAAATAAACTTTTACTCCTCAATTGACTAGTTTAAAATTAAAAACAAAGGACTCAATTAGTTGTATTCCTTAAGAATAAATTGAGGAGAAAACAAACTTGGTTAATGTTTGGTAGACTCTATTTCTGATTAGGCTAATGCATTTAATGAAGTAATACACATACTTTTTGCTAAGATATGAAAATGAGAACCCTTTTATCAATAGGAAAGTATAATAAAAACTCTATAAATATGTGCTAATAACACTATAAGCATTCTCTTTCGTTGCCCTTTTGCTTTTTATTCCCATTTAACGTCTTATTACAAAATGTTTCCTACAGGAATAGTTATCTTAAAAGCGCAACATTTGCTAATAGTTTAGTTTTGCTTTTTAAGCATATTCTCCATGCCCGGATGTATTCATTGGTAATGGTTTTTCACTTGTCAGGAAGTTTACAGTTACATACAGTAGTGACAAAGAGGGAAGGCAGGCTGGAGCGTCGGTGCTTGCGCTGGGAGGCAGAGTGCATAGGCAGGACACTCTCCAATGCTTTAGAGAGTTTTTCGGCAAAAGTTTCCTCAGGGGCAGTCCGAAGGAGGGAAGGACAAAGAGGTGCAGACAGCACTGGTGGTGGGGTGGAAGGAGCACTGGGAGAAATGCGGGATAGAGAGGGAACAGCAGAAAGATGGGGAACACAAACCGACATGCTACGGCCACGACGAGGCTAAACAGAAAACAAACACATATGAAAAACACAGTACTTTGAAAACAAAATAACCAAATGTACAGTGATAATAGGGTATAGTTAACATAAAGAAATGTTCTACCCTCCCCAATTCTACGGAAAAAAAAAGTGTAAGACATAATTCTACAAAGTGCAGCTGGTATATTATAACTATTCTCCCTGTTCTAGTGGTTTTGTGCAGGTTTTCTTATAAACAATCAAAAGATCAATTATGATCTTGAATATTCTGAAATACCAACTAATTAATAAAAATGACTAACAATACCACACAAGAAAAACAGTTAACTGTAGTTCTAAAAATTTACTAAGATTAAGCAAGAATAAATTCTACTAGAGTATAATATTTGGGAGATTAAGAGTACATTATTTGCAAGAGCTCTAGTAACTTGAGTGAAAATATTCATCTATTTTTGAAGGCAGTCTAAAAAGTTGCTTGCTTACACTACTTTATACTTGCCATGTTCTGTACAAAGGTTAAAAAGTCATTGACTAAAAGAAAAAAATTCACAATTGGGTATAAGAAATATTGTATATTGTTATAAAGGAGGCAGTGGGGTTGGGGTGGGGGATGCCTTCAATTTAAATCTCTAAAGAATCCTACCACCACCCTCAATATAAAAGATTCAGTTTAGATCTACAAAATTTGAAGTACCTTAAGAGAAAGGGTTTAACACAGCTACAGATCTGGTCTAATACTGTGAGGTTGTCTGGAGCAAGTTTATGACCTATTTCTTTTTCAAAACTGGGTGCAAAGAATGCTTTCAGCCAAACTTGGAGCCTGTTAAGTATGTGTCATAATTTAGTTCATTTGGTTCCAATTTTTTATCGGTCTTTCTTATTTTTAAATTTTCTTACAGTTTATACATTATTGTAAGGCATAGTAAGTTCTTGAAATAAGACAATAAATTATAAAATATTTTAATATTATAAAGACTTGTAATTCTTTATAACTACTCTATAGAATATTGTCATCAAAAATCTAGAAAGCTTGATTTTAGAGCAGCAAATAATAATACAACTATGTTAATGGCTTAAGCATTTAACATCTACATAAATGATCAATCTTGTTTGTCTTTTAGGAACATACATAACCCTGTGGTGAGAGAAGCCAAAAGGTTGAAAATAACCGTTAAAAAAAGGGAGAAATTAAGAAGTGCTGACAATATTTGTCAGAATTCAGAAATAAACCACCCAAGATTATTTACCATACTTAGGCTAAAGAACAGACTGTTAAGACGTTAGTATATATTAGTAGTATTTTTTTTTTGTATTAATGAGGCCATTAATCTTGGGACCTATGTCCACAGCAGGACTGATCAATCAATGGACTCCAAAACAAACATCGTTTATTAGCAAAAGGTATCTTCCTGAAAAAAAGATTCATTTAACGAAGATAGGAATTCTTCAAAGTTCAGATTAAAGGCTTCTGAGGAGTGAGGAAAATGAGTCTGCTTAAAGATTGTATTAAACAAGTGATATAGAGTGAACAATTATCATCTAATTCCTTTCTGAAGTATATGATCTAGCTTTTTGCCTCCAAAGACCTCACAGAGAGTCAGCAAAAGAAATGAGGATATTTTATGATTCATCTACTTTAACAATGTGCATATGTAAAATGGACAATGTGCATATACATCATGTACACAAACAAACTATTCCAAGAAATTACTTCTATAAGCTGACTCTGAAAATAAACTGATAATGAAATAAATACCAAATAAAGGGAAAAAGCAAATGAACATATACTGGGAAAGGAACACGCATAGCAACTGATGATCAACTAAATACAAGCAATAAATTAGTCAGAGGTCATACAATAAAGGATTCCTTTACTCTAAAATACTCACATGCAACATTCTATAATAGTTTGAAGGTCTTACCTGGTTTTTATACAAAAGAAAAATCTAAAAATTTCTTTAGTAAGTAAGCTTTAAAAAATATTAAAAAAAAAAAGTTCCACCCACAAATCATCTGGTATGCCACTGTGAAAAGTTTTAATTCATAGGAGCCTTAATATTCACAAAGCTGCTTTCTGTAGAGGTTCAGCTAATTCTCACTTTTTAGTGTGTATTTTACCCAGTTTGATCTACTCCAGTTATACTCTTACAAATTGATTTGCTTTAGAAATAACATTAACCCCCTGTCTCTGCTCTGAATTAGTTTCAAGTCACCCTAACAGATATCAAAATCTGCAGCTGGCCAAGTCCTTTATATAGATTATCACAGTATTTGCATATAATCTCTAGATTATATACTTATAGTACCCAATGTAATTTAAAAGCCATGAAAAAAACTGTCATATTGCTAGGGAATAACAAGAAAAGTCTGTACATGTTTGGTACAGATAAATTTTTTTAAATGTTTTACTATTTAAGTCCCCCCACGGAAAAACCACAGATAATGAAGACTGACTAGACCATTTATATTCTCTTAGACTCACAGTGCTACTTAGATGACATGAATAATTTGAATTTGGCAGAGTGTCTATTGGCTATTATTTTAGTATTACATTTTCTTATGTCTTTACTCACCGTACTTGAGGGTGGATACACTCCATGGGGCTGAGATTGTGCTTGGATACTAGAAACTGTATGTCCTGGTGCTGTGCCAGTAGAATGTGCCTGCTCATGTTGGGAACCATAGGAAACAGTCTGTTGGCTGCTCACTCTGGATTCTGTGAATACGGATGATCCTTGACCACTGTCAACTGTTCCATCAGCTGAAGGAAAAATGAATCATAAGAGGGAGGGAAATTGAAGAGGAAGAAATTATTCACATTTAGAGTCATTACATTAATGTTATTGGTTATTTCTTTGTTCAAATCTGAAATAAATTAAAAAAAAAAGAATAGCTTCAATGAGTACTTAAAAAATACATTTCTCTGATTATCACTGAATGTTACCATCTGAATTGCAAACAAAACTTAAGTTAGTCTTAAACTGAATCCAACTTCCAGGTCTCACTCTGTGGAGACTTATGTGTACTTGATATTCAATTAATGAGCACTGGCCTCATCATCATGGTCTGCTATGCAATTTTGCTAAAAGAGCTGAACTAGATTAACAGCTGCAATTAGAAATGCCAAAATTTATTCACTCTTGATTATTCTCAATTTTAAGGAACTAAGTAAAACAAACAACTAAAACCTCAAAATGTCAAGACACTGAAAGTTTTTCAAACTTTCTTCTATTCTAACCACATTTCCTCAGTGTTTCACCCTTCTATTAATCATGGGTACAAGAACAGAAACATATAAAGAACTAGCACATTTGTTTACTTCCCCAGATACTTACACAACACAGATATACTAGGTTGCTGATACTGCAGCTGTTGATGCTGATCTGCCTCGGGTTCTTCAGGCTCTACTTGTGTAGAAACTGAAGCAGAAGTGGTGGGAGCAGTGGGTATGCCAGTGCTAGCAGCAGAGAGCTGCTGGATTCCTGCCTGGGAGACACTTGCTTGTTGTTCATTCTGCTGTTTGAAACTGCTCTCTTCTTGTTTTCTTTTCTCTTGCTCTTCTCGAACCAACTGCCGCTGCTCTCGTTTTCTCTTAATTAATGACACCCTATCTTTGATAGCTTTAGCCATGGTCTTGTGATCACCTTCACAGACATAACCAGACTCAACCTACAGAGTAAAAAGAGTATATTAGGAAGAAAAGGGTACCCCAAGGAATTACTTCAAACAGTAAAATTACTAGTCTGCTTTAAGTTTTCCCACAATTGTGGTAAACAGAGTGGGCCCCGCCCCATGGGAAGACCAGCAGTCTCAACTGATCTGGACCCCTGAGATCTCTTAGACACTGAGCCACCAACTAGGCAGCATATACCAGCTGATATGAGGCCCCTGAGACACATATACAGCAAAGGACTGCCTGCTCTGGCCTCAGTGAGAGAAGATGCACCTAACCCTGAGAAACTTGAGGCCCTAGGGAGTGGGAAGGTCTGGTAAGGTGGAGGTTGGGGTGGGGACATCCTCTTGGAGACAGGGGGAGGAGATATGGGATGGGAGCTGTCAGGGGGTGGAGAGGGAAGGGGATGAAGACTGGACTATAAAAAAGGATTAAAGAATAAAAACCAAACAAACAGGGGCTGGAGAGATGGCTCAGCAGTTAAGAGCACTGGCTGTTCTTCCGGAAGTCCTGAGCTCAATTCCCAGCAACCACATGGTGGCTCACAACCATCTGTAATGTACTTACATAGATAAAATAAATAAATCTAAAAAAAAATTGTTGAAACAAACAAACAAACCAATAAAATTAAGTATCTTTTTCATATTTGGCCCTTTTTCCAACACTGAATAGTTTTTTAAAAATTCTATGACTGTGTAATAATTGACCTTTATTTATTTTTAGGCACTGTGGCATATCTAGATGTGGTTAAAGATGTCCTTTATAATATTGATCTTTTACACATACTTTAAGTAAGGATACATCAAAAAGTGATTAGTAGCTTTTGATCTTCAAAACATCCTTCAAAGTGAAAATGTTTTCATAATATTTATTTTTATTATTTAAATCATGTGTGTGCAGATGGAGGCCCAGCATTCCATCCCTTGATGCTGGAATTCTAGGCAAATGTGAGCTGCTTGCTGTGAGTGGTGGAAACTGAACAAAGGACCTTTGTAAGCCACCAAAGTAAAAGTACTTTATAAACCTTGTGTCTCTACAGTATTTATGAGGATGGATCAAAGGCTAACCAATATTTAGAAACAATTCCAAACTTGATCAGATTGGATATGCCTATAATCTCAGCACTCAGTGGGATGAGACAGGAGGACCATGAGTTCAGTATTCCCACAGCAAAATAGCATAACATATTTTGACTAAAAAGTCAGATACAAAAGAGGCGTTGTTAGCCTTTATAGACGTCCAAAATGCATCCCAGTCTTATATCTCATTTATCCACTTGTACCTACATGTTATTTTCCTCATATAAAAAATTTAAAAGACTAAAACCCAACCATATTATCAAAACAATATCAAAAAGCACAAAGAAAGAACTTAAAGAGGAAATCATAGGAACCTCTCACCCCCACATCCAAAGACAAAACACTCGGGAGCAACACAACCTCATATTAATGAGATACATATCATACATCGCTAATTAAATAGTTGTTTTGTTTTTGCCTATGAGTTTCAGTATCCATAAAATCTACATCAACATCTAAGTGCCAATTTACCATTTCTTGAGCAACATCTTCCGGTACATCCCTCTCCAAGTCAAAGGAAAACTCAATAGCTTCATTGTCTTTGTATTTTCCCTTTAATTTCTTAATATCTTCAATACGTAGCCATAATTTAATAGCTATCTTTTCTCCATCATCTTCTTCTGCTAATTCTACCCGTACCCCTGTTTCCTCCTGGAAAAAGGCATGGTTCAAAAGGTCTTTGATGGAATATCTTTCAAAGAAAGAAAAAGAAAATTAAAAAAAGAAAGTCATTAGTTTGAAAAGACATTTTTCTTTCTCTTTCTGAGATAGTATCTCACTATGTTGCCCAGGCTGGCCTCAGACTATAGAGTACTTAAGAGGCATAAGAATTGACTTTCAAATGTATATGTTTACTATTATTTAGTTAAGAGGGAAAATCTACAATAGAAAAACAAGGAAAATTTTGTTATTCATTTCAACATTAATCCAATTGAATGGTAATGTTATAGAGGGGGGTGTGTGTGTGTGTGTTTTTCTGTGAGTGATGGTAATGGAATATATTACTTTGTATATGCTAGACAATTACTTCTACATCTCCAGCATATAATCATACTTGGATGTGCTGTTTTTGATAACAGTTGTTAGGGGCAATTTTTAAATCAAATGATCTAATCTTATTAGTTAGTAGGATCTAATTATGACAGGAAATACATAGAATATCAAAGCTTCAAAATACCAAAGAAGTATGGCAAAAACAAAAGCCAAGAAGACAAGATATGACCTTGTCTGACTCTTGACCAATAACTATTCAATGAAATATCATTTACTGATTAATATAAAATTAAGGCTAAGAAAGGTTAAGTCTTTCTCAAAATTCTACAATAACAGATGATATAATCAAAACTAGAGCATAAGTTTACTGATTTCTAGTTTGGTACTTTCTACAATAGCCACCTTTTAATACAATAAATTCCTTCAATTCCTTATCAACAACTTGTGGATTAAACAAGTCAAAGGCTGGTTGCATAACATTCTTTTTTAAACAAAATACCAGTAATCAAATAAACTGTTCCATCCAGAAAAGAAACAGAATAACATTTTAAGACTCAAAACAAATATTCCTTTGTTTACAGTGAAAAAGTCTTAAAAAAGCAAAACAGAAACTCAAACTAAATATCCACTAAACAGTCAGTTTAAAGATCATGATGTTAAGCTCTTCTAAATAACAAAGTTTTGAAACGAATATGAGCCTAGAAGGGTGAAGAAACAGAATTCTTGAATTTGACTGATATACCCAATTGGGCCCATATTTTAGGAGATAGGTTATGCTCAATTTACAATTTATATTTGTATTAATTAGGACAAGATGGTGTACTTTTTCTTTTAAAGCTGGTATGGGGGTGTGGTAAAGGCAGATTATTTTCAAATAGAGATCATGGCTCTTTGCCAAGCCTACAGGTGACCCATTAGCCACACTGCCTAACAGATACTTGACACTTTTCTCAGAAAAGTTCTGTTTGTACAAATGACTAAGCCAGATCTCCTCTTAAGCCTTGGGTAAAATCTCTTTTTTACTCAAAGGAATTTTGATGTTTTGCTTTTTTTTTTTTTCCTTTGATCCTGGAATAATGACAGAAAAAAAATCCAGGCCTGTGTAGCTGAGCTGATTTTCAACAGCCAGTATTTTACTTTACTTCTCAAACTTTAATGAGAAAATGATTAAGGAATGGGTTTGCTGCATTGGAGAATAAACTCTACTGTAGAGTTTTCTAAATTATCCTGTAAGTAGTCTGTTGTAAGGTGGTTCTGACTTACTTAAAAATCACTAAACCACATTTTTAGAGTTACAGTGGGCAAATCTGAGTAGCTTCAATGGAAATAATGCAGTTTTCCAAAAATGTTATATGCTATGAATGAAAAAAAATGAAACACAAGTATTAAATTTACCTTTCATTGTTCAAATAACAACATGTCAAAAAACAACTTACCTTTCATCTTTGTTTTGTCGGATACATCCTTCAATTATTTCCTTTACTTCAGGAATTGCTACTTTGTCAAAACTGGCTGGCTTTACTCCCTAAAATCCAGAAAAAAATAGTCATAAGAAATAATGAAAAGAGAATCCCGAACTTTGTTTTAAATAGGTCGCCTTCTTAATATCCTGGCCCTTTTTCTGATGTACTACAGGACCTGATCCATATAGAGGTCAGAGGTATTAAGTGGCATCTCAAGAAACAACAACGAGTATGGCAGGTCTTTTAGCAGAAAAAAAAATTAGGCTGCTGATAACATCTTACAGTTAAATGGTGTCCAGGTGCTCTGATTAGTTAGAAAATCTTTTGTGCAACCTTGAAAACATATTGATTACTTCAGTATTTATTCTGGACACTGAACCCAGGAGTAGGCATGAATTCACACAGTTTGGTAGACATCATATTATATAATACTCTTTAAAACACTTAGTACTAAAAATTATGGGTTACTATTGATTTGCCAGAATAACTAAGAAGCAACTTTACATAAATAAAACAGAAAAATGAGAATCAGGAACAGTGATAGAAGTCTATAAGCTCAACACTTTTGAAATGGATGCAAGAAGATCAGGCTTGCAAGGTTATCCTTGGAATAATGTCAGAATGGAGTATATCAGAATCAAACCTCTCATCAGGCTCCTCTCACAGATATTAATAGGCTTCCTACTGGGATATTGTCTATGAAACCCTCCCCCCCCCCCAAGACTTGCTGAAATCCCTAGAAATGTTACATTCTTATCTTTAACCCCTTCCCTACCTACCTCTTGCCTGGAAATTTAAGAGTCTGGCTATAGAATTTTACTTCCTATGAACAACCCCTCTACCCAATCCTTTAAAAAGTCTAAAAAGAAATTCCCTTCTCTTTCACTCAGATCTTGATTCTCTTCAGGAGACTCTTCTCAGTGTCTCTGCCATGCTATTGGCTCCTTTGTCAGTTGGTTTTTGGAATTAATAATGAAGCAAAACAGAATGGATGCACAAGCTTAATTATTCAGCTAGGGTGTCTTCCCTCCACTTGATCCTAGTACTTCTGGCCATTGTCCTGCCCTGTAATTTTCTTCCTTCTGCTCCAGTCTAGCATCTACCTACAAGTCCCCTGGCAATTTAACAAAATCTCTGCTTTCACTTTTTTCTTGTTCTTTTTTTTTTTTAAGCATTGTTACAAGTGTTTCACCTGCTGATTACAATAAATGCAGATTGATTTAACAAAAACAAACTCTTCTAATAAACTCATTAGTGCCTAGTAATCTGTTAGTGTCCTTTGAACCACCTCGCCCACCCAAAACCTACAGAGTTCAAGGCCAGGTTGGGCTACCTGTGACCCTGTCTCAAAACAAAACACAAATAAAAAACCAGTCATAAAAAGAAAATTAGTATCAGACTCACATGAAATATAAGTATTGCAATTAATTTAAGAAGGAAACTCAGGCTGGAGAGATGGCTCAGTGGTTAAGAGCAATGACTGCTCTTCCAGAGGTCCTGAGTTCAATTCCCAGCAACCACATGGTGGCTCACAACCATCTGTAATGAAATCTGATGCCTTCTTCTGGTGTGTCTGAAGACAGCAACAATGTACTCTACTCGTATAGATAAAATAAATAAATCTTAAAAAAAAAAAAAAAGAAGTAAACTTATCATTACTACTCTATCTGAAACTAAATAATATCACAATGTGTCTTAGGGATTCTGTTGCCACAGTGAAACACCATGAGGAAAAGAATCTGGAAACGAAAGGACTTACTTGGCTAATGTTTCCATAGAATTAGGGAAAGAACTCAGGACAGGAACACAAATGGGCAAGGAACCTGGTAGCAGGGGATAATGCAGAGGCCATGGAGCAGTACTGTTTACTGGCTTGGTTATCATGGCTTGGCTCAGCCTGCTTTCTTACAGAAAACCCAAGACCACGACACCCAGGGATGGCAACATACACAATGGACTGGGTCACCCCACAACAATCACTAATCAAGTTCTACAAGCTTGTCTGCAGGGCCATCTTATGTATGCATTTTCTTTAACTGAGGTTCCTTCCTCAATTAAGATGACTTTGGCTTGTGTCATGTTGACATAAAACATAGTACAGTAATAGTTTAAAATTTTCATTTGATACAAACTCTTTAGCTGGATATGGTGTCACGTGCCTTTAATTCTAACACTATGGAGGCAGAGGCAGGCTGATCAGAGTTCGAGGCCAGCCTGGTCTTCATAGTGAGTTCCAGTATATTCAGTGCTGTGTACAGAAACCCTGTCTCCAAAAACAAACAAACAAACAAACAAACAAACACTTTCAGCAATGTGTCAAAACAGCACTATTGGAGAGGTAGGTTAGAAGGAGAAGGCCTTGGTATTTATGTCCATTTCATTTTAGTAATGATATGGATTAAGAAACCAAGAACAGTGCCAGAAATTAAGTTTGAGGACAGCCTGATTAATTAACTAACATAGCGAGTTCTAGGCCAGCTAAGGGCTACATAGTTGCAACCTGTCTCAAAGCAAAACCCCAAAACTTAATCCACTTCCAAAAGGAATCCAGAGAGATATAGCAACATGTACAAGTGGTGATATAAATCTATAAACACATAGATAGGAGGGAGCTTGATACATAAATTCTAATCATTTTGTATGGTCTCAGTAACAGAAATGAAACTAGTGAAGAAAGGTATACATAATCTCTCACAAGACTAAATAAACCACAATACTCTGAGTTCTTCAAGTGTAGACAGAAAATATTAGTATTTGTCTTGATCTGTTCAAGAAACAACCTTGGTAACTTTTTACAATAAGGTACTTTAAGTCCTAGAGGAAATGTATTATAAGATTTAGTACTATCACTGGTTTCAGAGACCCACTGGTAAATACATCAAATAATTCAGAGTCAAAGACATTAAACATGGAAATTAAACACAAATTTGATTGATTCTCATTTAATTACCCATTGCATTCTTTCAAGCAGCGATTTGGAGAGTTACTCTTAGTGCTCCTATGAGTAATTTTTCACAGCAACTAACTGTGTAATAGAGCAAAATCCTCAAGTCACACGAAGGTAATTTGAAAGTTTAAATCTCAGAATGACTACAAAGATTACTTTTTTTGTTTTCTTCTTGGTCATGTCCCTTTTCAAATGCAGCTAAGTACTATCTAAATATCTTTGTCCACATAATTCTGTTTGAGAATTTCATATATGCATATGTGCCTTCATCAAGCCTACCCATTCTCCCACAAATCCATGCACATACAAACCCTTTGAGTCCATTTAGTGCTGCCAGTATACACTTGGGTGTATAATCATCCACTGGATCCTGGGTAATAACCTCTTAGAAGCTGTCCCTACTCATGCTAGGATTTTGTCTGGTTTATTTTACCCAGGTCTTGTACATTCTGTCACAACTGTTATGAGTATGTAGGTGCAGCTGTCCTGCTATATCCAAAATACCCCCAATAAATTGTGAAATTCATTAATATATGGGTATAACGATATAACATTAGGAGTAATTTTAATATTATGCCCATTTAGTTGAATAATAATAGTAGGTATTTCTTTAGGGCCTACGACCTTCTTGGACATACTGCATTTATACAAGCATGTGTTCTTTCTTAGGAAGTGGGCCTTAAATAAAATCAGAAAGAGTTTGGATGCTGGGCATAATGGCACATGCCTTTATTCCCAGAACTTGGAAGGCAGAGGCAGGTGGATCTCAGAGTTAGAGGCCAACCTGTTACACACATTAATTTTCAGGACAGACAAAGCTCCATAGTGTAACCCTACCTAGGAAAATAAAACAAAACAAAAACCAAAGGGGTGAAGGGCCCTTGGTTACCTCCATAACAACCTGCCACTATTGCAACAGTGGCTATATCTTGGCAGGCCAATCTTTATCTTAGCTAACTGGGTTCACAGCTAAGTGAAGACTGATGATGACTTTTCTCCACTAGTAGCTGCACCTTCCAGAACTAAAAAACTAGCTAGTAAAGATGAAGCTTCCAGATTGTTATAAGCCTTTGCTTTCTCCATGTTCTGGGTACTAGTACATAGTAATCTCACCATCTATTTCCAGCCTGTCTATGAGATCCACTAGCAAACAACTCCAAAGGAGGGAATGCATACCTACCACTGGGCTTTTTTTTTTTTTAAATAGCTTATAATGTCAAGGAGAACAACTGTTTTCCCCACTCACCTCACCTCATCTACAGGGTAACTCCTTTTAAATTCTGTACATGTTTGTGTAGATTTTAGAAAGCTTCTACAGTAGTAGGTTTCCATGCAGCATTTCTGAAAGTCTTTAAAGTATCCCTACCCATACTCCATCCTTATGAGTGCTGGTATTTAAAAAGCCACCCCTCGCCGGGCGGTGGTGGCACATGCCTTTAATATCAGCACTTGGGAGGCAGAGGCAGGCGGATTTCTGAGTTCAAGGCCAGCCTGGTCTACAGAGTGAATTCCAGGCCAGCCAGGACTACACAGAGAAACCCTGTCTCGAAAAATCAAAATAAATAAGTAAATAAATAAATAGCCACCCTGGTGTCACATACCTCTTTTAGTCTAAGATATCAGGTATTGGGCAGAATTGCAGTACTCCTATACTTGGCTAACTTAAAAAGCTCATAAAAGAAAAATCCTTTTCCATGTTAAGATACGGATACTGATTTCCCTGATGACTAAGGATGTTGAACATTTCTATAAGTGTTTCTCAACCATTCAAGATTCCTCTGTTGAGAAATCTGTTTAGCCTTGTACCCAATTTTTTAATTGGGTTATTTGAGTTATTGGAGTCTAACTTCTTGAGTTCTTTATATATTTTGGATATTAGCCCTCTCTGTCAGATATAGGTTTAGTGAAAATCTTTTCCCAATCTTTAGGCTACTATTTTGTCCTATTGACAGTGTCCTTTGCCTTAAAGAAACTTTTCAGTTTCCTGAGGTCTCATTCATCAATTGTTGATCTTAGCAACATGTTCTGTTCTGTTGTCTCCTTTACCAAACAAAGCTACTTCCCACTTTCTCTCCTATGAGATTTAGTGTAGCCAGTTTTATGTTTTGAGGTCCT